CCTAATTACAGGGATCCTGGCTATTTCAAAGAAATGCTAAGGGATTTAAAGGGAGACTTAGACTCCAATACAATTGTAATGGGGGTCTTCAATACTCCACTTTCAGCAATGGACTTTTCAACCAGACAGAAAACAACAAGGAAACGGCAGATTTAATCGGCAACATGGACCTAACAGATATCTATAGAACTTTTCATCCTAAAGTTGCAGAACACACATTCTTCCCAGCAGTGCACGGAACTTTCTCTAGGACAACATAGTAGCCCATAAAGCAAGTTTCAGCAAATTCAAAAAAATCAAAACCATACCATGTACCTTCTCTGAACACAGTAAATGAAGCTGCAAATCATCAACTCAGGAATCTCTAGAAGAACATATGCAAACACATGGAGACTGAACAACATGTTTCTAAATTAACTGTGGGTCATAAGCCGGCGCCGCGGCTCACTAGACTAATCCTCTGCCTGCGGCGCCGACACCGAATTCTAGTACCGGTCGGGGCGCCGGATTCTGTCCCGGTTGCCCCTCTTCCAGGCCAGCTCTCTGCTGTGGCCCGGGAGTGCAGTGGAGGATGGCCCAAGTGCTTGGGCCATGCACCCCATGGGAGACCAGGATCAGCACCTGGCTCCTGCCTTCGGATCAGCGTGGTGCGCCGGCCGTGGCGGCCATTAGAGGATGAACCAACGGCAAAGGAAGACCTTTCTCTCTGTCTCTCTCTCTCACTGTCCACTCTGTCTGTCAAAAAATAAAATAAAAAATAAAAATAAAATAAAATAAACAGTGGGTCATAGAAGAAATCAAAAAATTTCTGGAAACAAATGAAGATGACAACACAACATATCAAAACTTACAGGATACAACAAAAGCAGTGTTTAGAGGAAAGTTTATAGCTATAGGTGCCTACATCAAGAAATTGGAAAGGTGCCAAATAAATGAGCAATCGATGCAGTTCAAGGATCTAGAAAAACAGCAAACCAAACCCAAAACAAGTAGGAGAAAAGAAATAATTAAAATTAGTGAAGAAATCAACAAAATTGAATCCAAAAAAAAATACAAAGATCCGCAACACAAAGAGCTGGTTTTTTGAAAAAATAAACAAAATTGACACACCATTGGCCCAACTAACCAAAAAAAGGAGAGAAAAGACCCAAATCAATAAAATTAGAGATGAAAAAGGAAAAGTAACATCAGACACCACAGAAATAAAAAGAATCATCAGAAATTACTACAAAGGGCTGTATAATGACAAACTAGGAAACCTAGAAGTAGATAGATTCCTGGACACACACAACCTACTTAGATTGAGCTATGAAGACATAGAAAACCTAAACAGAACCATAACCAAGATGGATATTGATTCAGTAATAAAGGCCCTCCCAACAAAGAAAAGCACAGGAACTGATGTTTTCACTGCTGAATTCTACCAGACATTTAAAGAAGAACTAACTCCAATTCTTCTCAAGTAATTCAAAACAATTGAGAGGGAATCCTCCCAAATTCTATGAAGCCAGCATCACCTTAATTCCTAAACCTGAAAATGGTGCAACAGAGAAAGAATTACAGACCAATTTCCCTAATGAACACAGATGCAAAAGTTCTCAACAAAATTCTAGCCAATTGAATTCCAGAATACATCAGAAAGATCACCTACCCAGACCAAGTTGGATTTATTGCTGGTATGAAGGGATGGTTCAAACTTGGCCAATCAATCAATGTGATACACCACATTAACAAACTGCTGAAGAAAAACCATATGATTATCTCAATAGATGCAGAGAAAACATTCAATAAAATTCTACACCCTTTCATGATGAAAACTCGAAGCAAATTGGGTATAGAACGAATATTCCTCAAAACTATCAAGGCAATTATGGCAAACCAACAGCCAGCATCCTATTGAATGGGGAAGAGTTGAAAGCATTTCCACTGAGATCAGGTTCCAGACAGTGATGCCCACAATCACCACAGCTATTCAGTACAGCCCTGGAAGTTTAACCAGAGCCATTAGGCAAGAGAAAGAAGTCAAAGGGATACAAATTTTGAATGAAGAAGTCAAACTATCCCTGTTTGCAGATGACATGATTTTTTACTTAGGGGATCCAAAGAATTCTACTAAGAGACTATTGGAACTCATAGAACAGTTTGGCAAAGTAGCAGGATACAAAATCAATACATAAAAATCAACAGCCTTTGTATACACAGACAATGCCACGGGTGAAAGAACTTCTAAGATTAATCCCATTCACAACAGCAACAAAAAAAATCAAGTACATTGGAATAAATTTAACCAAGTACGTCAAAGAACTCTATGATGAAAATTATAAAACATTAAAGAAATATAAGATACAAAATAATGGAAAAATTTTCCATGTTCATAGATTGGAAAAATCAATATTATCAAAATGTCCATACTACCAAAAACAATTTAGATTCAATGTGATACCCAATCAAGATACCAAAGACATTCTTCTCAGATCTGGAAAAAATGATGCTGAAATTCACATGGAGGGACAGGAGACATCAAATAGCTAAAGCAATCCTATAAAACTAAAACAAAACTGGAGGCAACACAATACCAGATTTCAAGACATACTACAAGGCAGTTATAATCAAAACAGCCTGGTACTGGTACAAAAATAGATGGACAAACAATGGGGCAGAATAGAAACACCAGACATCAACCAAACATCTACAATGAACTTATATTTGACCAAGGAGCTAAAATGAATCCCTGAAGCAAGGACAGTCTGTTCAACAAATGGTGCTGGGAAAATTGGATTTCCACATGCAGAAGGATTAAGCAAAATGTTCAACCTTATACCTTACACAAAAATACATTCAACATTGATAAAAGATCTAAATCTACGACCCAACACCATCAAATTATTAGAGAACACTGGGGAACACCTACAAGACAACGGCATAGGCAGAGTTCTTGGAAAAGACACCAGAGGCACAGGCAGTCAAAGCCAAAATTAACAAATGGGATTACTTCAAATTGAGAAGTTTCTGTACGGCAAAGGAAACAAGAAAATTAAGAGGCAATCTAAACAACAGGAGAAATTACTTGCAAACTATTCAACTTTCAAAGGATTAATAACCAGAATCTATAGAGAGATCAAGAAACTCAACAACAACAAAACAAACAACCCACTTAACAGATGGGCCAAGAACTCAAAAGACGAAATCCAAATGGCCACCAGACACACGAAAAAATGTTCAGGATCACTAGCTGTAAGGGAAATGCAAATCAAAACCACAATGAGGTTTTATTTCACCCCAGTTAGAATGGCTTTCATACAGAAATCAACAAATGACAAATGCTGACAAGGATGTGGGGAAAAAGGTACCCTAATCCACTGTTGGTGAGAATGTAAACTGGTAAAGCCACTATGGAAGATGGTATGGAGATTGCTCAAAAATATGAATACAGACTTACAATATGACCCAGCCGTCTGACTCCTGGGAATTTACCCAAAAGAAATGAATTCAGTAAAGAAAAGAGCTACCTGCACCTCCATGTTTATTGTAGATCAATTCAAAATAGCCAAGACATGGAATCAACCTAAATGCCCATCAACTGAAGATTGGATAAAGAAATTATAGGGTATGTACAGTATGGAATACTATACAGAGGTAAAAAAATGAAATCCAGTCATTTGCAACAAAATGGATGAATCTGGAAAACATTATACTTATTGGGGCCAGTGCTGTTGCCTAGTGGGTAAAGCCACTGATTCCAATGCAGGCATCCCATATGGGCACCAGTTCAAGTCCTGGCTGCTCCACTTCTGATCCAGCTCTTGCTATGGCCTCAGAAAGCAGTAGAAGATAGCCCAAGTCCTTGGGCCCCTGCACCCATCTGGGAGATCTGGAGGAAACTCCTGGCTCCTGGCTTCAGATCAGTGCAGCTCCAGCAGTTGCAGCCAATTGGAGAGTGAACCAGCAGATGGAAGACCTCTCTCTCTCTCTCTCTCTGCCTCTCCTTCTCTCTCAGTGTAGCCCTTACTTTCAAGTAAATAATCTTCTGAAAAAAAATTATACTTAGTGAACTAAGCCAGCCCCAAAGGGACAAATACCATATGATCTCCATATCTTTAGATGCTAATAGAGCACCTAAAAGGGAATCTGTAGAAGTGAAATTGACACTTCGAGAAGGATGACTTGAGGTGCCCTTGTCTTGACTGTTAAGGAACAGTTTTGCTTTCTTTAATTTTTCATCTTTTTTTCTTCATACTATTTGTTGAACTCTCTGCTTAACAGAGTTAATCATATGCATAAAAAGTCAACTGAAAATAGGTCTCAGTAAAAAATAAGAGTGGAAATAAGAGAGGGAGGAGGAAAACTGTAACTATAAAGCTATATAGTTCTGCATACATTCCTGCAAAGTTACTTCTAAGGGTATAGTTTAAAAACTTGTCATGGGACTCCAAATCCCTTCAAAATTGGAGGTAAAATTCAAAAAGGTAAAAAAAAAATTAGCCAATCCTAACTGGTTTAATCCTGACCTGCTTTTTGTTTCCCTTGGTGACTCCATGAAGACCATGGCCTGAGAAGTCCTTCACTGTGCTATGAGCTTTTGCCTCTTGCCTCCTGATCACCCTGGTTTCTTTTCCCATGTGGTGAGAAGAGCTCCCTGTTTCTGGCATCTGTGAGTTGAAAAACTCTGCTTTCCTGTGTCTCTGTTCTGTTTCTTCTAGTGGCTGCACCTGGCTAGCCATCACATAAAAGAATACAGAATAGTACAGAACAGAGAAAGTAAGAGGCATCACAGGATGTGAAAGTGGCCCAGTGAGACAAGAACGCAATGTGTACAGCAGAGGGTGGTAAAGTGGGCCATGGTTCCAGCTCAAAATCTGGCACACCAAATGTTTTTGATTAGCGCAGGATTAAGAGATTTTTAAAAACATCATATGAGATTCAAACAAAAATAATAAAAGAAAAATGATATTTAATAAAACAAAAACAAAACTTAATTTGAAATGAGGACTGCTACTTACATGATCCGTTGTGTTTCTGATGAAAAGTCAACATATCTTCCAAAAATAAATTTAAGGTCCTAGAATTTCAACAAGAAAAAAATAAATAAGAAAGACAGGAAACAAGGTATGCAATAATAGAAATCAATTGATAAATGTCAACCTACCTTTTCTTGAACATGTTTAGCTAAATTCTTTACATAAATTCTACAGTTTGGTTCACCAGGTTCATAACTTCTGAAAACTGAAAGTGCTTCCATTTCTTTATTAAAAACAAAACAAGGATAATAAAATTAATTTTTATAAATTTCTGAAACATGAAAATGTTAAAATCATAGAAATTAACAGCAGTATTAACAGGCATAAAATACTTACTAAAATTTGAATGCAGGAAAAAAATTTTAAATTTTCTTTTTAAAATTCCAGGCACTTAGAATAACTATAACCTGCCCAATAAAATGTCCACTTCCTCATACAAATGTAAGAATGCAGTATTCAAACCCAATAACTAGGTATTTCAAACAAACTGGAGCCTCTGAATCCCTTTCCAGCTATATTCCTATTTATTCTCAGTAATTTGTTTTTCACCACTAGAAATCAATGTGCAAAAATGCTAGTTGGAAGTCCATTTCCTGTTACTGTGGAAAAGATTATGAGCAACTCATCAATCAAAAATTCAAATTTTTCCCAAGAGATACTAAAAGAATTAAAATTCTCTAGTAAAAAAAAAACTACCATGTTAGGATATAAAATCCTGAACTATGGATTGTTAATGACCAAATAACTTTTTACAATCACTTTATATGTATTTTAGATACAGTATTGTGATAGTTCATCAATTGCATTATATTTGGAATATATAACTGGAGACTTATAAGATACACAGATTTGTTTTCAATGCCATTCAAAAGTTTTAGGAATGAAAACAAAAAATATAGAGTGGCAATATTGTATGGAAGGAAAACAACCTTCTCTACTAAGTGTATTAAAAACCAAAAAGATAAACAAAAATTAAAGAGATATTAGTTTTGAAGTGTGTGATTTAAATTCCAGTACATGGCACTAATAGATTTTGTTTCCATAGAGCCAAAGAAATGGAAAATGGAATATGTACTTTATTTAATGACATTACCTTCTCTAGAAATTCTGCCCTTTTCCAACTCCCTTCTAGAAATACATTCTGATGGCATCTCATCAGAGTCTTCTTTAGTCTCCTCTGTGATGTTCAAATTAGGCTTTGGGAATATTTTTCCAAATCCTATATTGGATGCATCAACTTCAGCACCAGGTACATCTAAGAATTCAACATTAGCATAAGTCATTAACAATCCCTTCCTTCAAAATAGTTTTCAGGTTTCCTTTCTTCCATTTCTTTTTAATAAGATATCTTTGGGCACTAAAATTATTTAGTGTTTCTCAATGTTTTGTAGGAGGTGTTAAGCAGAAGTCAAAACAATAAATATTTTGTGGACCACATGGTTTCTACCATGACCATTGAACTCTAGCATTATACTATGACAACACTGACAGACTACAGCTAAACAGCTACGTGGCTACTAAGTGGTTAGACCAAGTCTAATTTTTTTATAGAACTTACTACATAACAAACTTGCAGTAAGTCATTAGAATGATAAAAAATTATGTAAAACATGATGTTCAGTCAGAAAGAGTAAGAGAAAAATGTGTATACATGTACAGGATAAGATATGAGAGGATATATGAGTATTTTTTATATGTGTACACACATACACATACACACATATATACACACTCTCAATTTCTAAATTACTAATAGTGGTTATATCCAGGGAGTGAGACATAGGAGAGTTGGGTTTGGGGATTAACTGAAAAAATGTTTCCTAACAATACAATTATATATACAATTATATCATAGAACATCATATTAAGCAATGAAAAATTCAGTCAATACCAGAAACTAACTATATTTTAAGTGTAAACATTAGGAAAAAACAATCCTAAATTTTACTCTAATAGTCATTATTAGCATTAGGCAAACAGAAAAAATATTATCATTTAGCATTAGTTTTAGTTACATCAAAATGTTGAAAATGGGTATTATTTCATGATCTTGAGGAAGAACTAACTGCACATTAAATTGACAAATACTAAAATACAGGAACATTGTATATACAAAACAACTTTTAACACAAAAAGCTGATTCTAGCATATGAAAGAACTACAATTTTCTTACCACATTTTTTTTCTTCAAAATTTTCTTCCTTTTCTAAATCTTTCTTAAATGCTGCTGGTATGTCAGTAGATATATGGAATTCAATTTTTCTGTTACCTACAGGTTGTGGTTGGTCAAATACATCTGATGGTAACAGCACTGGATGTAAATTGCTATTTAAAGACAATCCAACATTAGCTTGCAACTGCAAATAAAATCTTGAGCAAAACATTATTTCAAATTTACTTTTAATTTTAGAAACAAACATGGATAAAGCATTCACTGCACTGCAGGCACAGCACAAAATAAAAGGTTTAATAATTCAATAAGCCTTAAAAATGCTCTAATACAAGTACTATTTAATTCTACTTTACAGGTAAGTAGACTGAGTTTAACAATGTTAACAATTTGCAAAATCACTGGATAAATGGGAGAGAGTGAACTAGATGACTATTGATTTTTTTCAAATGTATTTATTTATTTAAAAAAGTAGAGTGGCAGGGATAGACAGAGAGAGAGAGAGAGAGAGAGAGGGAGGGAGAGGGAGAGACAGAGACAGAGAGAAAATGATCATCCATCTCGTGGTTCACTACCCAAATGCCCACAACAGTTAAGAGCTTAGGCTAGGCAAAGTCAGGAGCCAGGAACCCCATCTGGGTACTTTTCACAGGAGATTAGTGACTCATGTACTTGTACCATCATCCACTGCTTTCCCAGATACATTAGTAGGAAACTGGATTTGAGTCTCTGCAGGGCAGCAGGACTCAAACCAGCACTCTGATATGGGATGTCAGTGTAGCAAGCAACAGCTCAAGCTGCTGTGCCTCTAGGCTGGAACCACAATGACTATTGATTTTAAACTCCCACATATTTACCTACATGCAATAGTTTTTTTCTAGAGTTAATACAGCATTTTAATTTTATATTCAGACTATGGAATAGTACAGTGCCAACAGAATAGCCACTAGTGACAATGTGGCTAATAACCATTTAAAACATTGCTTTCCAAATTAAAATACATAGATATAAGTGTAAAGTACATACCTAATTTGATGACTTTCTATGAAACAATGAAAATATTTCAGAAACTTTTTATACTGAAATGTAAGCTGAAATATTTTGGGTATAAAGAGTCAAATAAGTTATATTATCAATATTAATTACATCTGTTTCTACTTTTTTAATTTAGCTACTGGAAAACAATGTGGCGTACATCATTCACTTCTAATGTCCAGTGCTGCTGCATACATTAAAAGCATGGGACTGGAGGTTAGCACTGTTGCCCTGAGGGTTAAGCTGCCTTCTGAAATGCCAGAATCACATATGGGTGCTGGTTTGAGTCCCAGCTGGTCCACTTCTGATCCAGCTCCCTTACAGTGTGCCTGGGACCAGCAGATGGCCCAAATCTTGTGCCCTTGCAGTCACTTGAGAGATCCAGATGAAGTTCCTGGCTCCTGGCTTTGGACTAGCACAGCTCTGGCCATTACAGCCATTTGGGGACTGAGCCAGCGGCCAGAGGATCTCTCTCTCCTTTCTCTCCTTGCAACTCTTTCACGAAAATAAATAAATCTTTAAAAAAAAAAAAATAAATAAAAGCATGGAACTGCAGCACACCAAGATAAAAATATAGGTCAGTCAAAACATACATCATTTTATTTATGCTTGAAGTGAAATAAAAACAAAAATGAATAAACCTAATCCTCAAAAAAAGAGGAAAAGATAATTTTATCAAGCTCTTTTTATTTATGAAGTTACAAGGTCAGGAAGAAATTTACCTTGTAGAAAATTTAAATGAGCTTAAATTGCAATTTCATACTAATTTTTATCTGATTAAGATATTAAAATACAGTTTTATGGCAAAGATGAAAAATCAAATTCCCTCTTTAAATTCAACTAGAATCTTGTTAATGCAAGATGTCACAATTAAAAGGCAATATATTTGAAACAAAACATACATCTAAATAATATCATCCCATTTGGTACCTTCTGGACTATAAGAAAATGCCCAAGAAACAGTAGAAATGTAACTTATATTAGGTAACATTTATGCATAAATGTGGCTCTGTTCTTCACTCCTGTTTAGTTAATATAACATAACATAGTCCAAAAAAATTCTTTTTTTTATGTCAATGTTATTCCAATGACTTTCAATAAATTCTAACTCTCCAGCCTAACATGTAAGGCATATATCTCTCTCCCTGTTCTTCCAGTTTTCCCTTTCATTATTTCTATTACTATTCAACAAATTTTCCTACCTCTGGAAATTTTCCTTTTTCTTTTCCACTCACAAAGGATTTCCTTTCCCTACCTAATTTTTGCCTCTAATCCTTAATGGTTCAGTTCACAAATGTCTCCTCTCTCAAAGCCTTTCCACATTTCTCAACTAGCTGTGACTTATCTTTTGTCACAATCCTTCAGTTCTTAATTTTTATTTTCTTTATGATATGTAGTATACCAGCTAGCACAATATTAATCTGCAAATGGTGTACTGACCATAAGACTATCAATGCATTGCTTGAAAACACAGCATTAACTTACGGTGTACTGCCCATAAGACTCACTGTTTGAAAAGACAGCATAAACCTTTGGAAGTTGCTTCACTATAGCCAGCAAAAAACCTCCAGACACATTCAATAAATATTTAAAGACATTCTAGTGAGACCTGGTTATCATGTTATATGTATGAATTTTTAAAGTCAAAAAGCATTGAACATCAGGCAAGAGTTGGAAGAACTACATTATTTTATATAAATGAGTAAATGATACCATTAGCAAAATTTTAAATGCAGAAAAACAATCATAATGAAAGGAAAGTAAATCAAAAAAAAAAAAAAAAAGAAAGGAAAGTAAATCAGTTTTGCTTTCAGATAATACCTTAAATGCCACAAGACATTCTGAATGTGTAGATAAGAGTTCAGAAATGAAAATTTAAGGCCTCAAGAAATAGATTAAATCTAGAGATGCAGTAATCATTAGTGAGAACAACTAAAACCATAAGAATGAATGAGATTAATAACGAATATAAATTTAGAAACAGAAGATGACCATGAATAAGAAGTACATGAAATCCAAGAAGAGAGAGTGAAAGGATGGAGGCAAAAATGGAGAGGGAAGAAGGAAGGAAATAAAAGAGAACCAATAAGATAGTAGTTAAAAAAAGGAAATGGTAAGTTAAAATAAAAGGAAAATTTTGAGATTTGAGGAAGTCAATAGCATCAAAAACTAGTCAAACATGACAGAGTTATGAATACTTCAGAATTTGGTGAGTAGAAAATCAATGGTGAGTCAAACAGACTAATATGAAACAAAATCCAGACTGAAGAATGATGTGAATTAACTCAATAAAGTACAGACAGACAACCTTCATTTCATAATGTTAAACAACATTACCTGTGTGAAGCAGATGAAGGCGTACTCAGCATATCCTTTATCTTTTGTTTTTTTCTCACATGGCGCTGCTTTACAGTCTTTGGTCTTTTGGGCTGAAGGTTTGCTAGTTCCATTAGTTTGCTCATTCTATGTTGGGGAGAAGAGAACTAAACTGGATTCCTTTATCCAGAAGCACAGTTATTTATGACTATTTTTATTAAGCTTCAATTTGTATCTGGGTGTATAAAATAAGGTGATTTGTTTGTTTAACTTTTATGGAATGTACTTACGTGGAATAAGTATAACTTCCAAGCTATCAAAGAGAGAATTTCACAATAGCTCAAATTCAAAATTGCCTTGCCCAACATTCATTTCACTTGAAAGGAATTCATAATTTAATTTACCACTTACTAATTTTTAAAAATGTTTCACTATAAACATCATTAGTTACCCACATAAAATTGCTAGACCTCATACAAAGCAAGTGAATAAGATTATGCAATTTATGTGAGTTTATTAATCATTTCTTTAAAATTTTTTTTTAAAACATGCTTTTTTTTAAGATTTATTTATTTATTTGAAAGTCAGTGTTACATTGAGCGAGGAGAGGCAGAGAGGTCTTCCATCCACTGGTTCACTCCCCAACTGGCCGCAACAGCCAGCGCTGTGCCAATCCGAAGCCAGGAGCCAGAAGCCAGAAGCTTCTTCCGGGTCTCCCACGTGGGTGCAGGGGCCCAAGCACTTGGGCGATCTTCTACTGCTTTCCCAGGCCATAGGAGAGAGCTGGATTGGAAGTGAAGCAGCCGGGACTCAAACCGGCACCGATATGGGATGCTGGCGCTTCAGGCCAGGGCGTTAACCGCTGTGCCACAGTGCCAGCCCCAAGTTTATTAATCATTTCTTAATTAATAATCAAAAGATCTTTTAAACATAGGAAAATTATTGTGATTCATGTTCTAACTAACAAACAGCATGGACTGAAGTATTTCATTTACAAGTATTTTGAGCATAATTGTTGCAATCAATCATTATGCAAACAAGGTGCTTTGATATTACTTGAGAACAGTTTTCAAACACTGAACTTTGAAAACAAATCAAGAAGAGGTAACTGAGAGCTTATATATAATTTCTCTATTAAGAGTATGAATATTCAATATTCATTCTTGTTTAGGCTTTTTTAAGATTTACTTATTTATTTCAAAAGCAGAGTTACAGAGAGGGAAAGACACAAAGATCTTCCATCTGCTGTTTCACTCCCCAAATAGCTACAATGGCCAAGGCTGGGCAGGGCAAAGTCAGGATCCTGGAACTCCACCTGGGTTCTCTCACATGAGTAGCAGAAGCCCAAATACTTACACTATCCATTGCTGCTTTTTTGGCACATTAGCAGGAAACTGTATCCAGAAGTGGAGCAGCCAACACTCAAACTGGCACTCATATGGGATGCCAGCCTTGTAGGCAGTTACTTAGCCCACTTCACCACAAGGACTGGTCCCACATTTAGGCATCTTTATATAGTTCTTGTCTAGGGTTTTTTTTTTTTTTTTTTACGTTTTCCACATTATAGGAGATCAAAAATGAACAGTCATAGCTTACCCTGTGGGTTTACAACTGTGAAATTTTAAAGGAAAATAAATACATACATTCACCAAAATATAGGGGAGGAAGTCAAATATGCTAGAAATTTAAGTGAATTTTTAAAATTAATCATATCTGAGAGGCAGAGAGAGACAGAAGACAAAGAGATAATGTAGAAACATAGAGAAAGTAAAATCTTCCATCTGTTGGTTTGTTTCCCAAATGCCTGTAACAGCCAGGTTGAGCCAGACTGAAGCCAGGAGCTAGTAACATCTAGGTCTCCCACCTGGGTGGCAGAGACCAAACTGCAACAGCAGCCATCTGCCTACCAGGGTGTGCATTAGGAGAGAGCTAGAATCAGCAGGAGAGTTGCCATATTTTTATGGCAGAACATATACACCAGCATCAAATGTTTTGCTTACCAAAAAACATCTTCTAGTCTGATAGTTAAAACTATTATCTTCTTGGGTATGGTGCTGTCGTGTAGCAGGTAAAGCTGCCACCTGCAGTGCTGGAGTCCCATATGGGCCCGGTTCAAGTCCTGGCTGCTCCACTTCCAATCCAGCTCTCTGCTATGGCCTGCAAAAGCAGTGGAAGATGGCCCAAGTCCTTGGGCTCCTGCACCTGCATGGGAGACCCAGAAGAAACTCCTGGCTCCTGGCTTTGCATCAGCACAGCTCCAGTCATTGTGGCCAGTTGGGGAATGAACCAGTGGATAGAAGGCCGGCCTGCCTCTCTCTCTCTCTCTCTGCCTCTCCTTCTCTCTCTGTGTAACTGACTTTCAAATAAATAAATAAATCTTTAAAGAAAAAAAAATAGTATTTTCTTGTGAAGTGTAACTGGTGTTCCCCCTTTATTAAAGAGAAAGGGAGGGGCCGGCGCTCTGGCAAAGTGGGTTAATCCTCCGCCTGTGGCACCAGCATCCCATATGGGTGCCGATACCAGTCCAAGCTGGCCCTCTTCCAGTCCAGCTCTCTGCTATGGCCTGGGAAAGCAGTAGAAGATGACCCAAGTCCTTGGGCCCCTGTACCCATGTGGGAGACCCGGAAGAAGCCCCTGGCTCCTGGCTTCGGATCGGCGCAGCTCCAGCCATTGTGGCCATTTGGGGAGTGAACCAACGGAAGGGAGACCTTCCTCTGTCTCTCCCTCTCACTGTCTATAACTCTCTCAAATAAATAAAATCTTAAAAAAAAAAAAAGAGAGAGAGAGAGAAAGGGAGGTGGGAAAAGCAATTGAGCCACCTGGAGATAATAGTTCCTATTATCTTAAGACCTACAGGATATGGTTTTAGTTTCACTTACACAGAAAATAAACAGACCCTTCCCTGAACCATTCTTACACCTGTTTAGGAAGGCAAGACTGACCTACTTTGACCCACAACTCTTTATATGCTCTGTGACACCTAGGGAACTTCCCTTGGATTCTTAGGGCTAGTTACCAGCAGTAACCCATACACAATCCCAGAGGACAATACCTAACGAATCCCCTTCATCAATTCTTATCACAGAATGCTGGTGGGGAGCACCAACATCACCCTAGCATGTCCTGTGGGATTCTTAGTCATTGAGATATGGGATGTGGGCATCCCAACAAAGGGCTTAACCACTAGGCCAAACACCCTGTCCCATGCTGTAAATTTTTAAAGCTTCTTAACAACTATGTTTGGCCAAAATCTTCTAAAAAAAAAAAAAAAAATCCAGCTATTCAAGGTAGATGTCCACATTTATATACTGCACACACAAAATATACTAAGTCTCTGCAACAGTGCCAGACATAAGTGATCAATCAGTATGTTTTGAGGGGCCAACATTCTGGCACAGTGGGTTAGGCCACCATCTGCGACACTGGCATCCACATAGGAATGCCAACTCTAATACTGGATGCTCCACTTCTGATTCAGCTCCCTGTTAATGCACCTGAGAAAGCAGCAGACAATGGTCCAAATATTTGGGTCTCTCTCACCAATCTGGGAGACCCAGATGGAATTGCCAGCTCCAGGCTTCAGCCTGCCCAGCCAAGGCTGTTTCAGACATTGGGAGAGAGAACCTCTCTCTCTCTCTCTGTCCCCTCTCAAAAAGTAAACCATGAGGGGCCGGTGCTGTGGTGCAATGGGTTAAGCCTCCCCCTGCAGCACCAGCATCTCAAATGCGAGCTGGATCTGGTTCTGGCTGTTCCTCTTCTGATCCAGCTCTTTGCTATGGACTCAGAAAGCAGTAGAAGATGGTCCAAGCACTTTGGCCCCCGCATCACCACGGGAGATCTAGACGATCTGGATCAGAAGATCTGGCTCCTGGCTTCAGATCAGCCCAGCTCTGGCCGTTGTGGCCATTTAGGGAGTTAATATGGAAGACCTCTCTCTGACTCTCCCTCTCTCTATCTGTAACTCCACTTCTCAAATAAATAAATAAAACTTTAAAAAGTAAATCTTTAAATATATGCTGAATAAATGTACCATTTTTGGTTGTTCATTTGTTCCTTCCTTCCCTTTTTTTTTTTTTTTTTGGTTTTGATGTATTTCCAGAAGTTAACTGAGAAGCTTGAAACTAGAAGTTTTGTCTCACAATTAAAGATGAATTAATGACAGAGTCCTATCCTATATCCCTAAATGTAAACCTAAATAAGCAAAGCAAAGACAAATTTTGACCAGTCTATGTATAGCATTTCTGATTATCATCACTATGTTTAAAAAGAAATTACAGGGGCTGGCACTGTGGCGTAGCAGGTAAAGCTGGCGCTTGCGGTGCCGGCATCCTATATGGGTGCTGGTTTGAGTCCCGGTTGCTACACTTCTAATCCCTCTGCTACTGCCTAGGAAAGCAGTAGAGTATGACCTGAGTGCGTGGGCCCCTGCAGCTGTGTGAGAGACCTGGAGGAGGCTCCTTGCTCCTGACTTCAGATCAGCCCAGCTCTGGCCATTGCGGCCATTTGGTGAATGAGCCAGCAGATGAAAGACACATACTCTCTTTCTCTCTCTCTGCTTCTCTGTAACTCTGCCTTTCAAATAAATAAATTACCTTAAAAAAAAAAAAAAAGGCAAAGAAAAAGGTACAATTCACATAGGTTAAGTAACTGGTCCAATTCAAATACTCTATATGCTTTTTATTTAGTAACAAGTTATCATCTATCAAGAACTACCAACTCCTCTAAATGCCTCTATTCAGTACAGATACTCTATTTACTCCTATTTTGTAGTTTCAGCCTCACTTGTATTTGATTTTAACTTTCCATAGATGTTGACTCAGCAATACTCTCAAATCACTGCTGATTTGTTTTATGTTTCTTTGAGTCTCCGCCTGAGTTGATTCATGTCGATTATTTCTTCTCTACCTGACTTCTGCTTATAGTTTTCTAAGATTTGCATCATTTACCCCTTAACACTCTTGCTAGACTAGGCTGCCTGCTATTTTTTTTTAAAGCTGTATTTATTTATTTGAAAGAGTTACAGAGAGGCAGAGGCAGAGAAGGATCCATCTTCCATCTGCTTGTTCACTCCCCAAATGGCTCTAATGCTGAAGCTGGGCCAGAAGCCTCCTCCGGGTCCCCTACATGGGTGCAGGAGCCCAATGACCTGGATCATCCTCTACCACATTCCCATGCCACAGCAGAGAGCTGGGTTGGAAGTGCAGCAGCCAGGCCCAGAACCAGCACCCATACAGGATGCCAGCACCGCAGGCACCTGGCTCACAAAGTGAAAAAATATTTGTTTTACAGACCCATATAGAAAATGTTTGGTAATTGCTGTTCTAAGCTAGGCTGTGTATTACATGCCCAAACATCATTAACAGAATCATCAGAATCTTTAAATAAAGTATAAAGTGTCGAGATCAATAAAAAGAATGATTCATTTGCAATGGTCACTATGAATGGCTTTGTCTGAAAGCCTACAGAACTTATAGAAATTACTCTGAAGTGAATCAACTATAGGGAAATAATCTGTCAAAAAATGAATACAACCATGTTTGCTACTTGTAGCAGTCACATTCCATAAGGTATCTACACACATAAATTAATAAACACTGAAACATAACCATTAGGAGAAATTCAGGGTGAGATTTCTGTAAGACTCTAATCACAGCATTTTCTCAATTGATAAACACATAACCTTGTTTCATTTATGTTTAAGAAAGTCAGGGCCAGCATTCCGTAAGGACCCCAGTTTGAGTCCTGGCTGCTCCACTTCTAATCCAACCCCCTGCTAATGTGCCTGGTAAAGCAGAAGAGTTGCCTGGACTCTTAACAGCCAAGCGGGAGATCCAGACGGAAGCTCTTGGCTCGTGGCTTCCTATTAGGCCAGTTTTGGCCATTGTGGCCATTTGGAGAGTGAAATAGTGGATGCAAGATCTGTCTCTCCCTCTCTCCCCTTCTTTTTCTCTCTGTAACTCTGCTTTTCAAATAAATAAATAAAGCTTAAAAGCAAAAGAACACCTTATTTATGTTGTTTAACACTGAACTCACAGTCAATACCACCACAACTCTAGCCCAAAAGAAGTTTATTTAACACATGTATTTTTTCCATATGACAAAGCTTCTTGAACTTAGAAATAATATATAGCACTTCAAATACTCTGCTTGGGAGCCTTTTTAAACAGCAAAATCACTAACAAAAAAATTCAAAAACATGAAAAACAGGGCAATAACAGACCATGAAAGGTATTAGTGTACTGTATGAGAGCTGAAATAAAGGGTCACTTTATTCACCCTTATCTAGGAGCAGGTATGTCAAGTGACAAATTTTTCACCATACTATTCATGCCCATATCCACAAAAAAATGGTTATACAATTAAGAATTGATTTGGAGGCCACAAACTTTAGCAAGTAGGAAGACTGACGAATATGAGAATAACAAATAATGAGACTTAACTATATAATACCATAATCATCAATCTAAAAAATGACACAAAATCCAAAAATTGCCATTAGATCTTGATAATTTATTTTCTATGGCTACTATATATGCTTGAGGGGGTAAGAGAAGGGGTAAGCTGGGGACAAATTCTGATGTCTTTAAATTTTAAAGAATTATATGCAAGCTTTACAAAGAAAATGAGAGTCTCTTTCCCACAGACAAAAAAAAAAAAAAAAAAACATTTCTTAGAATCTAAACAAATAGTTCATATTACAAACCTCTGTCGATCCTCATCATCACTGCTCTCATATTCTGATTCTTTACTAGATAATTCCTCATCCTCGTCTGGTAAAGGAGGTTCCTCAGGTAGGTGAGGAGATGTGGGTGGAAGAGGTGCATGCAATGGCATATAGTCTTCATACTAATTAAAAGTACAAAACAAAAAAATACTATGTAAATCTATGAAGTCAGAATAAATAAACCATTTCCACATGACTCTCATTTCTCTTCACTTTATGGTATACATTCAATGCATATTCAGGGAAAACTTGCCCTGGCAACCATTAATCACAAAACTTGTTTCTTATTCCTTGGTATCAAGCTAAACTAAATTTACAAACCTCTTTTGCAGTTATATTCCATTATGCAACTGGGCTTTAGCCAAAATTCTAAATATCATACACTCTTCATTTCTGCAGACTATGTGATAATGGCCTAATCAACATGAAGAAGCACATGGTGGAAACAACTTAAGTTTTATGAATAACAGTATGGGGCCTGCACTGTGGGGCAGCATGTAAAGCCACCGTCTGTAGCACTGGAATCCCGTATGGGTGCCAGTTCGAGTCCCGACCGTTCCACTTCCCATCCAGCTCTCTGCAATCGCCTGGGAAAGCAGCAGAAGATAGCCCAAGTGCTTGGGTCCCTGCACCCACACAGGAGACCTAGATGAAGCTCCTGGCTCCTGGCTTCAGACCGGCACAGCACCAGCCGTTGTGGCCAATTGGAGAGTGAATCAATGGATGGAAGACCTCTCTTTCTCTCTCCCCCTCTCTCTGTCTCTCCTTCTCTTGCACTTTCAAATGAATAAATAAATCTTAAAAAAAAAAAAAAAAGGAATAACAGTATAAGAGTATATGCCTCTGCCCTCTTTTTGAAAAAGAAATGAACAAAAAAATAACTTTTATTGTATTAAGACAAAAAATTTAAGTTTTGTTTTGATTTGTAAGTTAGCATAACCTTAACTAATAGCCTTGCAACAAATCAAACTTGTGTTGGTGTTACAAGGAAAAATTAGGAAAGTAATATATACAGGAAAAAAGCAATCAGCCCCAAATCAATTTTTTTCTATTTATGTTAACACTCAAATAATTTTGTAGTATTATTATATAGAGTACTACAGCAAATTAATTTCAAGGACCCAGTCAACTGCGTAAATCACTTGATTTGCACAAAAATCCTAATAAAAGTATTAGTTATCTTTTTGTCATTTGTAAGTGAATATTTGCAAGAAAGCAATGTTGAACAATAGAACTTTTAGATAATTTAGTCTAATGCAATTATCATACTTAATGGCACAACACTCTGGGTTAAAGTTAAATAACACTGAAAGAAAAGGATGGAATCCATCATCAAAAGCATTTTTGGTGGGCCTGCTACCATGCCGAAAGGAGGTGCTTGCCTGTAGCACAGGCACGCCCATATGGGCATTCCTTTGAGTCCTGGCTACTGCACCAGGATGCTCCCTTTAATGCAACTGGGAAAGCAGTGGGGGAATGTAGAAGCGCTTGGGCCCCTGCACCCTTGTGGGAGCCCAGGAGGAAGTTCCTGGCTCCTGGCTTTGGGCCAGGTCCTGCTCTGGCCTTTGTAGTCATTTGGGGAATGAATCAGTGGATGGAAGATCTATCTCTATCTCTCTCTCTCTCCACCCCCCACCCATCTCTCCTTCATGCTCTCTGTATCTCTGCCTTACAAATAAATAAATATTTAAAACAATTAAATAAAAAAAGAGTATTTTTTAATGTTCTGACCTTCCTTGATTTTCAGTTCTAAGACTTTTTTTTTAAACTTTTATTTAATGAATATAAATTTCCAAAGTACAGCTTATGGATTACAATGGCTTCCCCCCCATAACGTCCCTCCCACCCGCAACCCTCCCCTTATCCACTCCCTCTCCCCTTCCATTCACATCAAGATTCATTTTCGATTCTCTTTATATACAGAAGATCAGTTTAGCATACATTAAGTAAAGATTTCAACAGTTTGCTCCCACACAGAAACAAAGTGAAAAATACTGTTTGAGTACTAGTTATAGCATTAAATCTCAATGTACAGCACACTAAAGACAGAGCTCCTACATGACGAGTAAGTGCACACCCTAGGCTCTTGTCATGAACTGCCAAGGCTATGGAAGCCCCCTGAGTTCACCAACTCTGATCATATTTAGACAAGGCCATGGTCAAAGTGGAAGTTCTCTCCTCCCTTCAGAGAAAGGTACCTCCTTCTTTGATGACCTGTTCTTTCCACTGGGATCTCGCTCGCGGAGATCTTTCATTTAGGTGTTTTTTTTTTTTTTTTTTTTTTCCCCAGAGTGTCTTGGCTTTCCATGCCTAAAATACTTTCATGGGCTTTTCAGCCGGATCTGCATGCCTTAAGGGCTGATTCTGAGGCCAGAGTGCTGTTTAGGACATCTGCCATTCTATGGGTCTGCTGTATATCTCACTTGCCATGTTGGATTGTTCTCTCCCTTTTTGATTCTATCAGCTAGTATTTGCAGACACTGTTCTTGTTTAAGTGATCCCTTTGGTTCTTAGTCCTATCATTATGATCAATTGTGAACAGAAATTGATCACTGGGACTAGTTAGATGGCATTGGTACATGCCACCTTGATGGGATTGAACTGGAATCCCCTGGTATGTTTCTAACTGAAGTAAGTCAGCTTGAGCATGTCCTGAATTGCACATCTCTTCCCTCTCTTATTCCCACTCTTGCATTTAACAGCGATCACTTTTCAGTTAAGTTTCAGCACTTAAGAAGAATTGTGTATTGATTACAGTATTCAACCAAAAGTATTAAGTAGAACAAACAAAAAAAATACTAAGAGGGATAACATATTAAGTTGTTCATCAACAATCAGGGCGAGGGCTAAGACTTAATATTATTATATTACTTCACTGTTACTTATTTTCAATATTATTATATTACTTCACTGTTACTTATTTTCAATCTGTACCAGAAGTTGTTACAACACTTGTGCATTCTAGCTCAATTAATCTCACTCAGGAAAAGAACTCTTGACTCTTAAAATTCTGGGAGCTTTCTTACCATAGGAGGTCTTGCAGTAACTGGTCCAAAAGGTGTGGGCAAATTCATTTTATTCATAAGATGAAGCACCTTTAAGTAATAAAACATTTCAAATCACACAGTATTAAGGATATAACACATCTTTTCCATATTTTATGTAAAAAAAGTCAAAATAACATTACTAAATAACTTAATTCAAAGTTAAATTCTCATTTACCTTTATAATACTAGAAGAAAGTAGGACACTGCTAAATCTCAGCAGATTAGCCCTCCTATCCTAAAATGTTTGTCTACTACTACAAAATTACTCCAATTACTAAGAATGAAATATTCTTGCAATGCAACACCCACAGAAATATTTTTAAATCTTTTTCCTGCTTATTGTAAATGTGAAACACTAAAAAGTACAATGAGAAAAATAAACATCATTTATATTTTGTATTTCAAAGAAGTATGCTATTACTTTAGAAACTGTCAAGCATTTTCTGAAAGTCAACTATATCTTTTACTTTAAAGCTCTCTGCATGTACTTTAAAGCAACAGAGTATTATCAGAAACATTTCCAAATTAGCTTCTGTTTACTAGTATCAATTCATACTACAGTTTATAAAAAACTTTACTTCAAAGTAGTACAGAGTAGTTCATTATCTTTAAAATATTATTTTATCATTACCTATATTGAATTTCTCTAACATTAAAAACTAGTATGGAAATCAGGACAACAAAATAACTAATTTATACAAACATATACCTTTAGGAAAATAAACTTTATTTACCTGTACATAGAATTTAGGCACACTTGCCAAAGCATTTACTATGTTTGCTAGGATTGTGCTTGAAGGTGGTGGGTACATATACTTGAGGCATGAATTCAGAGGAAAAGTCAGCCTAAATAAAAAAATAAATGTTTGGCATATTTTAATATATAAATATAAATATATATAAATAAATAATCTGATAACATACAAAATTACTCAAATGATACAATACTCTTAGATTTGCCTTGTTCCTTAGAGTTAAATGGGTATATTTAAAAGGAAACTTGCCTTGTGATTTCATCACAGAAAAATGAGTTATTTCTTACTTATACCTCCAAACATGTTAATGGATTCTTCCTTTGAAGTAAATTCAGTGACAAACTCAGCTCAAAAGGTTTATTTAACATATTAAAAACATATATGAGGAACTGGCATTTGGCATAGTGGTAAAGATGCCACTTGGATGCCCACAGCTCATAGTCCAGAGTTTAGATTTGAGTCCCAGCACTGCTTGCAATTCTAGCCTCCTGCTACTGCATACCCTGAAGGGCACCAGGTGATGGCCCAAGTACTCAGGTCCCTGTCACTATGTGGGAGACACAAATTGAGTTCTTGACTCCTGGCTTCAAACTGGCCCATCCCTGGCTGTTGGAAGCATTTAGGGACTGAACCAGAAGATGGAACATCTCTGTGTCTGTATCTCTCTTTCTCTGTGTGTTTCAAATAAAAAAGAAGAAAACATATAACATGTGTAAAATGTACTTATTTTAAAAATTATATTATTTGCAATATACATACATAGAACCACAAAACCAAAAGACTAAAAGAACAAATTCTAACCCATGGTTTGGTGCGATTCCATTTTCTATTGTTAAGCAATCAACTTCTTTCTTTTCTTTATCATCTTCCACAATGTCATCAGATCTAGAACATAATGAAAGACGGTCTTATTTTTAGAAAAAGTGAGAAACTACATTCAAAAAACACAAATTATTTTTTCAAACATGGCATTATGAAAACAGTTCCAATTAAAATCTTCTCAAGTATTTCTCAAGCAAATGCTAATGAAAAGGGATATAGAATTAACATTCACAGAATACCTTCTAGTCTATATTATTATAAGACAGTACACATTTTAATTTACTCTTCAAAGTCCATGCAGATGGTACAATTCATCAATTAAAAATAAAACAGAAATTTAAATGATGCAAATAGTGGTACTCAAATTTCTTTAATGTATACCCCAATCATTTACAGGTTTTGTTAAAACGCAGAGCTTTCTAGGACCTTAACTTTACTTCTCCCCCACCCTCCTCCTTAGGTTTCTAATTAAGTAATTCTGGAAAAAGCTGAAGATTTTATATTTGAACCAAGTTCTCAAATGAAACAGCTGGTCAAGGGACCACATTTTGAGAAACACTAGTGTAAATCAAATTTGTAAAGGTTGTATAACTATAAAATGTCATAACTGAAAAACAAAACCAGTATTTCATTTCAAAAGCCATGCCTATTCTGACACCTTGCTATCTCTAATATTAGGACTTCATACTACAGGTTGAGCATCCCTAATCTGAAATTCTGAAATGCTCCAAAATTCAAAACCTTTTGAGGACAGCCATGATGCCACAAGTAGCAAATATCACACCTGACATTATATGACAGGTTGCAGTTACAATGGAAGTACATGGGTTGCTTGTGTGGCACAACAGTTAACATACTGCTTAGGATGCATACATCCCATATTGGAGTGCCTCGGTTCATAGTCCAGCTCTGCTTTATATCCAGTTCCCTGCTAAAGTGCACCTTAGGAAGCAGCAGGTAATGGGAATACTTGAATCCCTGCCATCACTGTAGGAGACCAAGACTGAGTTCTGAGCTCCTGGTTTTGATTTGATCCAGCCCTCAGTATTGCAGGTATTTGGCAGTAAACCAGCACTTGGAAGATCTCGCTCTATTTCTTTGTCTCCCTCCAACAGCCTATGGAAGAACTCTGTCTCTGCCTTCCAAATAAAACATAAGTTAGCTAAAAATAGTATATAAAACTACCTCCAGCATATGTGCATAAGGTATAAATGAAACATAAATGAATTTGTTTCTAGACTTAGGCCTATTCTCCAAATACCTACATCAAGTATATGTAAATATCCCAAACTCTGAAAGAAAAAAATTAAAAATTTGAAACACTCCTGGTCCAAGCATTTCAGATAAGGGATGCTCATTTGTGGTTATTTTCCCTCTACCAAAAGTTGAATGCTTTTCACCCTACTTGCTTCCCACTTTATACTGACTAATTCTAATGTTAAATTGACACTCCAGTTCCTAATGCATAAAAAGAAGCAAAAATAAAGGCTGTACTAGGCTTAACAGAGAAACATATCATTACTCTTTAAAATTATTTACTTACTAAATCTGAAAATAATCTAGTAAATATGTAACTGATTTACTTTAAAAGGTGAGGAAAACCTGAGTACCTACATACCTTTTTTTTCTGTCAGTGCCTGAAGCAGGACATGGAGAGTGAACTCGATCTTGTTCTTTAGCAAATTCAACAACTAAAGTATGACCTAAAAGTTTCAGCTGATGAAGTCTTGTCAGTGCCTTCAGTTAGAAGAGTAGAAAAATTGATGACTGTACTCAAAACTTTGTTACAGATCATATACAAAAATGATTTATACATTTTTTAGTTAATGCTATAATTTCCTTGTCTTAATTATTTCTATTCTCAAGCTATTAAGTCTTTATTATTCATTTAATGATTGCCTCCTCTAATTTAGCAAAATGAAAAACTGGAAAAATCCAACTCTACTTATACCCAGGCACCCACTAATGGCTAAGTAAGGAATATAAACCTGCCTGGTCTCACTTTAAATTCATAAACACAACCAAAAATCTCAAGATGGCACTTAAGGACACCACACAAATACACACAAAATTTTTGGTTCATTATTTTCTACCTATCTCTGAGAGAGTATTTTGTACATTTTCATTTTAATTTAACTTAATATTCCTTTCCCACTCTTTTAGCCTAGTAATTTGCTTCTTTCTTAAAGAAAACTGAAATAACTAAATGAGAACTTTGAACTCTCACCATAATGCCCTAGCAATTGGCACCTGAACCAAAACAGTCTACATTCTGTATCTGTTATACATATTAACAATCTACATATCCAGCTTCTTGACTTGCATACTGAATACCATCCTCTCCCCCTCTCTTCAAGGGTCTTTATTTAGTTAGGTCTGGAAATGTATGGGGAGAATGTTCTTATCTATATTATTAATTACTTATATGATCTACTTGATCACCCACATCAGTATACAAAGATGATGCTCCTATTTCTCCCATCTAAATTTTTTTCTTTTGCTATGACCTCACTACACAGCCCATTAAAATAAAAATAAATTCTTGCAGTAAACTTCCACAACAGTTATCTAAACTCTTTATCAACAATTCCTCTCATCAGTCTCAAGCCTAGTCCAATTAATCAGTTCACTAGACCACCTCAAATTCTTTATTGTCAAGCCAAAACTCTTAGTCTTCATTATACTACATTTAAATTAGTTGATCACTCCCTCCTTCATAGAAATCATTTACTAGGTTTCAAGACACCATTCTTTCAGTTTTCTTCCTAACTGTTTTCTACTGCTCAATCTTACTCTTAATGTTGAAATATCCCAGAGTTCTAATCTTGGTCTCTCTAAACAAATGCTCTTGGTAATTTAATCTAGCATCTAAAATTCAAATATCACCTCTAGACTGATTATTCTCCAATATTTAACTTTAGCCAGAACTGTCCTCAAATGAGGAACATGTATTCACATAATGAACTGCTCCTTTCAGGTGCGTCAAAATTAATGGTTCAGAAACTGAACCACTAATCTCTCTTCTCTACCCCAAATGTTGTCTACTACAGCCCTCCCCTCATTTTCATTTACAGTAATTCCATTCTTCCACTTACTCAGGTCTAAACTCTTATAAACATCTTTAACTTTTCTTTCCTTCTTTGCATACCAAAGGCATCAGGAAATCCCATTTGCTTCTACCTCCAAAATATAACCAGAATCTAACCACTGCCTACTACCTCCCATAGCTATCACTCCGGTTCAAGTAACCATCATCCTGTGGACTGAATTACCTAATAATCTTTTTTTTTTTTTTTTTTTGACAGGCAGAGTGGACAGTGAGAGAGACAGACAGAAAGGTCTTCCTTTGCCATTGGTTCACCCTCTAATGGCTGCCGCGGCCGGCGCACTGTGGCTGGCGCACCGCGCTGATCCGATGGCAGGAGCCAGGTACTTATCCTGGTCTCCCATGGGGTGCAGGGCCCAAGCACCTGGGCCATCCTCCACTGCACTCCCTGGCCACAGCAGAGAGCTGGCCTGGAAGAGGGGCAACCGGGATAGAATCCGGTGCCCCGACCGGGACTAGAACCCGGTGTGCCAGCGCCACAAGGAGGAGGATTAGCCTAGTGAGCCGAGGCGCCGGCCAACCTAATAATCTTTTAAAACATACTATCACTTCTAGTTTCTACTCTTCCTATCCTTTAGTCTATTCTCAAAATAACAGCCAACGTGATCCTTTTAAATATGTTGTCTCATGTCACTTCTTTGCTCAAAATACTCTAGTAGTTACCCATCATACTAAGTAAAATCTACAGTCTTTCTCACATGCATGTACATGATATTGATTCTATGACTTCCAACTTCAAATCCAATAATCTTCACCCAAATTTCATCTGTTTCAGTCACAGTGGCTTCCTTGAAATGACTGACATCCTGCTACCCTAGGGCCTTCTATTCCAGTTGCTCTGTTTTTCTCCTTCAAATTGCTTCTGAAATATGATCCTATCCCTAACTGCAACCTGAACTTTCCATATCCAGCACCTCCTGATTTCACTGCTTTTTTTTTAACCATATGTCTTTTAAAATATCAAAGAATTAAGTTTATCACGTAGTTTATCTTACCTCAAGAGTCTGTGTAAAAATAAGGGCAACTTGTTTTTTTACTAATATATCCCAAAACTCAAAATAACATCTAATACATAAGAGGCACTTAATATTTTTTGAACAAATGGAACTTTAGGCCTTAAGTGAGACTATAATTTCATTCTATCATAACTATGCAACCAAATTTGAATCCTTATTTTTATCACACAAAAAGTTTTATAATGCTTCAGTAATTTTCAAGACCCTCAATCAATTCTAGATCACTTCACTATCAGTGCATCCTTGGTGATCTAAAACAGAGGTCATTTAATCTGAGTTGCCTCAACTTGTTTCCTTTCAAAATGGATGTCATACATTCTGTTATTTTCAAGGATGACTTCTCATTTTTAATGGTTAATTTAATAAAAATTAAATTTTGAATTAATAATCCCCCCTTAGGTACCTACTCTTATTCTATCCTTATTCTCCTATTCATATTTCTCCCTTTGTTTATTTACCAGTTGCCAATAAAGTTAAGTGTACTGTAATCTAAAAGCTCTATCACCACCATTATCCTCTAACCCACTCACTTTACTGCAAACATCACCACAGACAATGGCTAGCTCCATGACCTCTCATCCAGTTAATTATGATAATAAAATTATGCCTTTTACATTACTATATTGTACTTATAACTTATGGCACTAATTTTAAAAGTCTTTTTCTTTGGAAAAAGAAGTCCCCTATACATGGCAAAAATATAATGTGAAAACCTTCTGAAATTCCACTTTCAGAGAACCACATTTTTAAACAATTAGGTATTTAGTTCTGCCACATTTTTTTCTTGGAATATATTAACAGGTTTACTATCTGTTTTCAGAAAAATGTGAGGTTATATTACAATTTTTGAAACCTTTTTCATGCAGTCTATCTGGGCTATTACCATTTACTAATACATCTATAGCTGGGAATCCATTATATGGATATACAGATTAAATATCCCTTATCCAAAATGGTTAGTACAGAAGTGTTTTAGATTGCAGATTTTGGAATATTTGCATATACATAATGAGGTATATTAAGGGATGAGACCCAATTCAACATGTTAAATTCATATGTGTTTCATATAAACCTTGTAATACTCATAGTCTATAGGTAACTGTACACAATATTTTTAGTGCACCTGCATTTTTACTACAACTGTCACATGATGTTAGATGTAGCTTTTCCTCCACTCATGGCACCATATTGTCATTCAAAAGTTTCAAATTTTGGGGTATTTCAGATTTTCAATTTATGGATGCTCACTCCGCATAACCATTTGAAGTATCTGTTTCCCTTACTGATGAGAATTTGGGTCACTTCTGTTTCATAATAAAAATCACTAACTATTACATTTTGTTCATTCTGCATTTTGTGTCATCACTGGATCTCATTTTCTTAAAACTACTCTCTACATCCATGGTAATTTATTTCCTAATTCTACATTTTTCTTTTAAAAAAAAATACTACTCTCACCCAGTCTTTTCTACTAGTTCACCTTTCATTTGGTAGTATCTATTCATAAGGTTGAAGAATCTGAGTTCTTGACCTTGCCTCAGCTCTAGGCTAATATTTTTAAATGTTTACTAGCTCTTTCCATTGAAGTAGCAAGGACTTTTCAAAGTTAACAAATGACATTTGAATTCATTATGTACCTTTGTAAACATCTTCCTACTCTCACTGCCCAGAGAAGCTAATCTGACAACCTAACAACTCAGTCCACATATCTGAACTATTCACTCTTTCAACCCTACATCACAAGGCCTACCAACATGATCTTTATCAAGTATACTTCTTTACCCTTTGTCACTGGATCACCTTCTTCAGATACTTATTCTCACCCTGGCCATTTTAACAGCTTTCTATTTGGACTTGCTATATTTAATATTTCTCCACACTGGATCCATGATATAAATTCCACCAAGTATCTTTCACAGGCCTGTTCATATTATTAGCTAGGTCAAAAGTATCAAGTGCCTTTAGTATATGTCTCTTCTACTCAGTCTATTTTTCCATTCCTATTTCCATCACAACCCTTAGCCCTTGACCTACTTACACATTTCCATGTCCTAAATCTTTACTTTGTGTACCTCAAATCTGCAAGGTCCATCTCGCTTGATCTCTCAAAAAACAACCAAACATTAGAGATTATGTGAAAGGCCACTTACTTTGCAAATGATTCTGAGACTTCACAAAGTTAATGGAAAAATGGAATTCAAAGGTAAATTTACTGCTTTGAAAGCTTCTTGAAATCTATGCATAGTTTTTCTAACATGCTTTTTGCTCAACTTTTTGAAGTACTCTCTGTGTGTATATTCACTCTCCTTTAATACGTAAACCATTTTGCTTCCCAACAGTTAGTTATCTTCACATGCTTTGAACTTGCCATTTTTTTAGTTATATATGCTGCTAATTTTGATTTATTTCACTATTCTTACATACCATTACCTAAATGTTAGACAAAAAGATCTGTTAATTGCCAAAACAAATATAGTCTGTTGGGCAAACACATGGAATGTTAACTCTTTTGAAAGTTTTTAAAAACTAAAGTTTAATAGTTCTTCCCATTTTTGTACCAAGATTAGATACAGGAAATTGTTGATAACTTCAATAGTAAAGAAAATCATACCTTTATGGCTGCTTTTTCATTAGGGAAAGTAGCAAAAGCTGTATGTTTCTGAAACAAATTTAAGGTACAAATTACTTCCAGTATAATTTCAGTTACCCATAAAGAAATCTGATGTTGTACTTGTAAGGCTGCCACAAAACACACCAAACACCGGAGTAAGGGAAAGAGTTTATTGGGGGAAACCCGACAGACCAGAAGGAAGGGGCAAAGAAGGAAAAGAGGGAAAAGGAGAGTGTGAGAGACAGGGGGCAGGAGATGGAGAGGGGGAGAGAGAGAAAGGAGAGGGGCAAGAGAGAACGAGCAAGAGAGAGAGAGGAGGGGAGAGTGGAAGGAGAGAGAGACGTGTTCAGGAACAGGTCCTTTTAAAACTTTGTGGAGGACAGGCAGGGAAGTAGCAGGGAATCCAATTAGGATGGGGGTGGAGCTTGACATTGGTGATTGGGCCATATGCCCACCTGGCATCCAGCAATAAAGCCTAGGATGGTGTCAGGGAGTAGATTGTGCCATAGATAAGACTGTGCCATTTTCCTAACAGTACTAATGGAGGAATGTGGCACATTAATAAAATGATGGTACATTTAAACTGATGACTGATTTCAGTTCAGTGATTTTGAGTCTTTTTTTGGGTCGGACTTTTTGAGATGAAAGCTATGCAACATTTTTCATATAAAGGTATAAACATACTCCATGCAGGCTTTATTTATATAAATTGTGAAACATATCTGAAGTTTAAAAACCCCTACTATCCTCAGAGGATCACTCTTAACCCATCTAAAAATATAAAATAGCCCCTATTTACAATACACCTACACTATACACTATACTGAGTTCTTGTAAATGCTTATTAAGTGTTGCTTACTTACATCACACGTCCCAATTTTATCTAATTAGATCCAAGATGATCTAACTAAGTGTACTTCAGTTGAACCAGATGCGGTATTTTACTTGTATTTGCTCGAAATGCGTAATACTCAAACTCATCAAAACCGGTCTTTCTTCCAACTTAGGGATTCTCACTCCTGGCTACACACTGGAGTCTCTTGGAGAGACTTTTTAAAAACATTGACGTCTTGCCCCATCACAGATCATTTTGCAGCAACTGAATAGTGCCATTACTATTTTAACTAAGAGAAAATTACCTAAAACATCAAGTATAAAACTGTACAAATTCGTGGGTAGGAATTATTAAGTGTTAAAGTATTTTTCCCTAAAAGATCCCGTAGGGAAATCTTGATGAAAAAGCACCTGGGTCAAAAACTTAGCAGAAATCCTCTATCTAGTTTACTCAAACAGCTATTGCACTTTCTGCTCTATTCTGATCAGTGTTTTGACAACGGTTTCTAAATGAGCCTGAACTTTTAAAAACTCCTTTGTTACCTATTCCTAAGAATACTCCCAGTACCCCAAATTCAGAGGCGTTGAGAAATTCGGAGACTGGTCAACAACGGGAATACAATAAAGCTATTTTCATTTCTACTCTTTTCACTTTCTCACTCTTGGCGGTGCTGTGACGAAATCCGGACCCAAGCCAATTCAAACTCCCCCTCGCACACAAGATATTTTGACGTAAAAGGGGGAAGCTGAGGCCCCTCCGCTCACACAAGCCCCTCGTCTCCACTCGTTTCCGCCCCTTTCGTCAGCGCCTCCCCCGCCCGGTAAGCACTCAAGGGCTACACGCGATACTCAGGAGGACGCACAACCTTACCAGTCGCCCCTTATCTGACAGGACACGCACGGACTGCGCCCCGAAATACTTCAGCAAGTCCTCTTTCTCCTCAGCGGTCAGCTCTGCTGGCAAGTGCCTCACCAGAAGGGTTCGGTCGCCTCGCGGCGGGGACAGCGTAGAGCTTGTGCATCCTCTTGATACGAGCAGCGGCTGCTCGGGGGCCGCCATTTTCCTTGGAAAAGCGGCAACAGATAAGTCGCAGGAAGAAGCCTCCCGACGCGAAGCAGCGGCATCAACAGAAGCCGACACCAGCGAGCACTTTTCCGCCTCGCGCTAAGGACGCTGGTAACAAGGAAACACCGCGAGATGATCTCCTTCTCGCGAGAACTGCGCCACGGCCGAGCGGCAGCTGTCCGGGACGCCTCACACTGAAAGGCAAGGTGCGGACAGTGAAGGCAAATAAAGTGAGTTAAATCCCAGGTAGCCGCCAGAGGTGTTAAAAGCAAACACGGCTCACAGAGGCATGAAAATTACCAGAAGCTCGCACTCAGAGAACGGGGAAGCTCGCCGCCCGAGCGGCAGCGGGTCTGTGCCCCGGGACTGCAGGACTCACTGCGCGCCTGCGCGGTGGGGTGTGCGAGTCTGGGCGTGGCGTGGCGCGGCGCCTCCGGGGCTGTGCCTCTGGGCTATTCCCTGGCTCGGGGAAGTGAATAGGACAGGCTGGCGGATGTAACTTGGTGTGGGAACAAGCAGTGTGCCTTTGCAGTCCTGACAGTGAAATAACTAGAGTTAGCTAGTCCTTTGGTAAACCGGAGAAGGTACTGCAAGGGACATAGCTACAAGCATTTTGCCTTGGGTGAGCGATTCATTTCACAGAAATGGCAGCCTCTAGGACATGCCATAATGCATAAATGTCTTTACACATACAAGTACATAAAAGCCTGCATATCAAGTTCAAAATTGCACCAAAATAAATTTTCATGTTATTTTCCATTAACTTTTTGAAATACCCTTATACATTTTAGGTGCATGGGTAAGTAGTCTTTTTTTCAAGGGAGGATATACAAAGAGTGGGAAAGCTAAAATTTGACCCCTGGTCTTCTGACATGGGGTATGTACTGTGACCCACTATTCTGCTTAGATTCTGAATATAGTGAGGCATAACCTCAAAAGGGTCGGAAATCTACCCTTCACTCCAAGTGAAATTAGGTTCAGCTGTTACACTGTGAAGGAGCAAGGTATTTCTTTGATCTTTTTATTTTCTCCTTGGATAAATGTGAATGAGATAGCAGTAAACAATACATCAAAATTCTGTTCTCATGGAGTATTAATTGGCAAGGAAAAAAAGTTGAATAGGTAGAGACTCAATATGTAAATCTTGTAGGTTTGTTTAGATCCTTGCTTTTATGCAGAGCAATTGGTAATGAAGACTTATTTATTTATTGACAGGCAGAGTTAGACAGTGAGAGAGAGAGAGACAGAGAGAAATGTCTTCCTTTTACCGTTGGTTCACACTCCAATGGCTGCTGTGGCCAGCGCGCTGCGCTGATCCGAAGCCAGGAGCCAGGTGCTTCCTCCTGGTCTCCCATGCGGGTGCAGGGGCCCAAGCACTTGGGCCATCCTCCACTGCTCTCCCGGGCCACAGCAGAGAGCTGGCCTGGAAGAGGGGCAACCGGGACTAAACCCGGCACTCATATGGGATGCGGGTGCTGCAGGCGGAGGATTAACCAAGTGAGCCACGGCACTGGCCCCGCAAAGACGTTTAGTAGTTGTGTATTTGGGGAAGATGAGGACATGATCAAATTTTAGTATGAAAATTTTTCTGATTGCCATGTGAAAAAATATAGGAGAAGCATGAAGTTGGGCTACTGGGGAAGCCCAGGGGAAAAGACACAGCCTGACAGGGTTTAGCAGAAGTAGTCATAGGAGGATCTTGAGATATATTTTGGAAGTAAAATTTTAGTAACTTGAAGAACAGCAATCAGGGATAAATTCTGGATTTGTGGCTTGAGCTCCTAATTGTCCACCAAGTAAATAGATGACAATGTCATTTACTAAGCATAAGGAGACTGACTAAAACGTCACTAGGTTAGGAATTGTGGTGGGAGTAGGGGAAAGGAGGAATATGGAATGGATATGTATGCTTGGGATTTGGGGAAAGTTCAACACTGAATACATATGGGGTCAAACTTTATAGTATTTCTGTCCAAATAATAAGGGTGCAAATAGAAAGGAGCCTGTTATAAATCTATGGTGCATACCACCACTGTTGAGAAGTGGAGGAAGAGCCATCTCAGCTCTCTTGATGGCTACATTCTGGTACTAAAAACATGCTAAATAATATAAATGAATAAATGAATTACTTTCAGTGAGTAAGTGTTTTGAAATACTAGCAATAGGGTAATGAGAAAGTGATTGGGGCAGGCATCTTTAAACACTGTCCTTTACAGACTTCTGTATATCCCTTGAGGGCTTTTTTGGATATTTTAACAGCTACTGATATGCCTTGACTTTAGAGCAGAGAGGAAGGGAATATCTGTGTAGCCAGCTAGATCAGCAGAATCAACCTTAATGATCAATGGCACAGCCAGATGGCCCTCACATTCACATTCTCTGTGTTTTAAACATTCTCAGCACAAATTAGACATTCTGTAATATCTGTTCAATTACCAAATGCATGAAGGGATTCACTTCCATATTTACCATTGCTTCCTGTGGTAAGAGTTGATATATGGGGTATCAAATAGAGTTTAATGGTCCTTATCTATTGTAATTGAGATATCACAAGTGAATAATAAAATGACAGAATCATTTTCTCTCACTAATTTCTTTTACTTATATTCGATTTGCCTTATCTTTTCTTTGTCAGTATATCAGGAAGTTTTCATTTTCTGGCCACTTTCAGTTACTATCAGCCCAAGTCCACTTGAAATGTCGATTTCAAAGTCCATTAAGGTCTCACCTCTTAAGCTGCCTTTACCTTGGGCTTGATTTAAAGGGTTTCAGGAAAATAAAAAGTGTTTTCATCTTTCCCATGTTTCAGTGGAAGTGGGTATAGTCTACTTAAAATACTGTTGTCATTTATTCTGTAGGCCAGAAGATCTCAAAACTTTCTGAGTTCATGATGCTGTATGCTCTGAGCAATTTTTTTCCAGCACAGCCTATGTGCCACCTTGTTTCCTGATAAGAAACACTTGTTCTTTATGATAGTAACTGTCAAAAGCCCAGCTTTGTGAAAATAGGACATTCTTAAAAGGAATTTAACAGGAATGGATGTTGAAATTGAGAAACAACTCAAGAAGGTAGTTTATATAGTATCTGATGGACAATGAGTATTTCTTTGATCCTCACAAATTTTAAAAATATTCTATAGCACTCCTGTGAAGTAGCTGAGTTACCTGGGGTACCCTTGCACATAGTTTGAGAATTGTGGGTCTTGCTTTTTTCTGAACCTTATTTTCTTAGTTGGAGAGTACAAGGAGGGAAACCTAGTGGAATCCTATCTTACTTCACTGACCAATTCTTGGTTCTTTATCTCATTCTGATTATCTCTTTTCCATATATTGGTGGAGATTTGTCATCATGTAGTGTTTTTTGTTGGTTTCATCTTATTCTATCAATTTTCTTTCACTACCCACTTTCTCATACAGGAGCATCTTATTTTGCGTTACTTTTGGTTTACTTATTTTCCCCAAGCTTCCTTACTTGGCCATAGAAATATTTGGGTATTTCTTTTTTTTTTTTTTTTTTTGGACAGGCAGAGTGGACAGTGAGAGAGAGACAGAGAGAGAAAGGTCTTCCTTTGCCATTGGTTCACCCTCCAAATGGCCGCCGCTGCAGCCGGCGCACCGCGCTGATCCGATGGCAGGAGCCAGGATCCAGGTGCTTTTCCTGGTCTCCCATGGGGTGCAGGGCCCAAGCACCTGGGCCATCCTCCACTGCACTCCCTGGCCACAGCAGAGAGCTGGCCTGGAAGAGGGGCAACCGGGACAGAATCCGGCGCCCCAACCGGGACTAGAACCCGGTGTGCCGGCGCCGCAAGGTGGAGGATTAGCCTATTGAGCCACGGCGCTGGCCTGGGTATCTTTATTATGTCTTTTATCCTACCACAAGCACCGTTTTTTTTGTTTGTTTGTTTGTTTGTTTGTTTGTTTTTTCCACATGAATACAGGGAAAAAATGCTGAGACTCATTCTGGAATCTTGGGAAACTACAATGTGGAAAGGTATTGATTCCATTTCTCCCTCCTGGCCTCTTAAAGCATTCTCCCTTCATCATTAGTGTTTTTGAGAGAGGCATAATTACTCTTCTTGACCCCTCACTGCAAAGCACACTTCTGTCTGGCTTCTGAGCCCATCAGTTCACAGTGCATTCTTGCAAGAATCAGTAGTTACTTCCATGTTACTGACTCTGTTGAACTTCTTTTTAAAAACTATTTATTTATTTGAAAGACAGTGTGGTGGAGAAAGAGGAAGAAATGGGGTGGTGGGGAAGAGAAGGAAAGAGAGATTTTTCATCCACCGGTTCACTTTCCAAATGCCTCCAACAGCTTAAGGAGGGCTAGGCTGAAGCCAGAATGGAGAAGTCCATCTGGGTCTCCCACTTGGGTGGTAGAAACCCAAATGTTTAGTAAGACATCATCTGCTGTCTTCCCAGGCACATTAGCAGGAAGCAGGATAACAAGTGAAGTAGCTGGAACTCAAATCAGCAATCCTATATGGGATGTCAGTGTTTCAAAAGGCTGCATAACCGACTGCACTACCACATTTGCTTCTCCAGTTCTCATCTCAGCAGCACTTAGCACACTTGACCACTTCCTCTCTGAAGTAGCACCTTTCCATGGTTTTCAAAACATAACCATCACCTCCTACCTGACTTTCTCTCCTGCCTCACTCCAATAAATCTTTGTCTCCACACTTTCTCTTCTCTTCTCTAACCCTGAATCCATCTTTGCAATTTTACTCTTAGATGATTACCTTGCTTCTGAATCTTACTTAAAAAAAAAAAAAAAAGTCAATTGTAAGTTTTTGAGTTGCTGATATATTCTGGATATTAATCCTTTGTCAGATAAGTAGCATGCAAATATTTTCTGCCATCCTCTAAAAATGTATGTTTATTGTTTCCTTCTTGCTTTTTAGAAACTTCTGAGTTTGGTATAATCCCATCTGTCCAGTCTTGCTTTTGTTGCCTGAGTTTTGATATTTTATTCGAGAAGTTAACACCTATACCTGTATCTTAAAATATTTCCTCTAAGTTTTCTTTTAGCAATTTCACAAACTTTTCAAAAAGTAAATCTGAACAGTTTTTTGGTTAAGATGAAAATGTGCTATTTGAGCCAACAATTTTTAAAAATGTTTTTCTTATTTTACTTATTTGGGAGACAGCGAGCTCTTACCTACTGGTTCACTTCCCAGATGCCTGCAGCAGCCCAGGCTGGGCTCGCCTGAAGTTGGGAGCCAGGAGTA